AGCAGGAAATTCTCGTTTCCAAGACGAAACGCGCTCGGATATCTCGACAGAAAAAGAAATGGTACGACAAAATGCTCGTAACAGAATACAAACGTTAAGAAATGTAAGATTTCTCATGATATTTTGCATGACATGTTTGTGATGTTTATTAGCGAAGCATTTAAATCAATTGCATTTGCCATAATTATAGTACATAATTATAATAATATATAAATAAATATTGTATAAAAAAACAAAATTAATCTGCTAAATTAATAATAATATAATGCAATGTTATATTTAAAAAAAATTATTCTTTTCTCAGATAAATAACTCACGAATTGTCAATTAATATTGCTTAATTAAATATTATTTTTATTAATAAAACTATAATTTTTTAATTTGATTTATTTCTTAGTTTCTTACTCCGATATAACTGTAAATTTTTTTATGTGATCTATATACATATACAAATGGACACTATTGTCAATGTTATATTACTATCGCGATCGTATTGACAGATGTAGACCTTGATCAACGATCTAGCTATATGTAAATATAACGGGAGAGATGGCACGTGACAATTTCTTCGTTGGTGTTCATAAATTTCGCTCCGCTCTCAACAACGTTCGTCGCGTGGGCGAAATTGCTCATATTTTTATTTTAACTCGACCCATTTCCCCGCAAAACGATCTATCGAGATCGCTCCCGTGAACGGAGGTTTATCGCGGAAGTGAAATAAGACACGTGACATTTATTAATAATAGAAGCGCAATGACGGAAATCGGGACGTTACTTAATGACCGAGTGACATGACTGCCATTACGGTTTCCTAGATTATAACCGATTCAAGCCACTGATAATTTTGGTATTACTCTATTTATATGTGATCGTAGATATATAATATATCGAGTATATAAGGAGTCCGTAAAATGTTTCGACGCTGTCAACGATTACATACGACTTCTAACGATTTCGACATAAGAAAATTGACCACGAAATAATATCGATTCTCTGAATTTATTATGACACGGTTTCTTAACCACGGTCTCTCCCGCTATCCCGTATTTATATCTCGTTTATATTTCATTTTTCACTGTCTCACTCATATTTTCATTCTGTTCACTTTATATGCATATCTTTTTTTTAGAATCTTTAGTTATCGTTTGGAATCGGAAAGATTCTTTCGTAACTCTGTAACCAGCCTGGGCACCAAGATTCTCGATCACGCGAGAGAACTTAATCGATCCACTCTATCAAAGGTGGCGGTTGCAGCCGATAACGGGAAAAGCAAATCGTATCGCCTCTCACTCTCCAGCGCCCAATGGAGAAGGGGCGGAAGTTCGTCCGCGCGATGCTGTATGCGTTCTGTATGTACTTGCATGTGTGCAAGTAGTTGCAAAGGATCGATGGAAAGGTAGCTAGGAGGGGGGTATTTGCACCATAGAAAAATCTGGCATTCCAGTGCGGCTGCTCGCGAAACGCAGTCAGTGATCCATGCACGAAATGATGACGTATGAGCCACATTAAGCCTTTTTCACACTACCTACCTCATTCTTTTCTTTCTTGATGAAAGCATTCTCGTTAGCGTAGGAGTAAGATTGCCGATAATAATTCCGAGCACATGATAGCAGTACTGATTATTTATTAATAGTTTCACTTCACTATCTGTTAGTTGCTTCCAATTAGCAGGAATTTTCTTTATTAATTAACCCGTTTATTACAGTCTTCGATTTAATTATACATGTAACATTTTGGGGTAAAAGGTAATCTAAATACGTGAAATTTGTATTTTTAACTTTATAATATAATCGAAGGACTGAGCAAATATAGAAATACGTTTCTGTATTTTTTATTATAAAAAAAAAAAAACAATATATATTGAGAATGCAGTGGGTCAAAAAAGACTCGAAAATCGTATCAGAGTTAAGACAAAAATCAAACGATCGCTGAATAAGATCAATCTTATATATATTATTTTTATCAAACGTAGAGATCTATCGTTATTATCTACCGTCCACGCATGACAGAAGCATAATGAAAATTGCGTTAAACCTGACCAGAGTGTACTACCTCATGCGAAATGAAGCACAACTCCATTCATTCCCAAGCACATTACAATACGGACGTAGTCCACTTGGTTGAGAAATATGGTGTGAACGGGACCTTACTCGAGAACGCGCCGTTACTTAACGCCGCCGCTCTCGGGGAAAGTCTTAGACCACAGATTTGCGGTAATGTAAGGCTAAAGAAATTCTCAAACGGCCGTTGAGCGGTACACAGACAAGGTTGCCGAGGGATCGACTTCCGATTTCGAAATCGCATGCTGGACACCGATCGTTTCGCGGTATCTAGGATACGGCGGTTTCGAGCGTGGTATTTGTGTCAGACGGCTTTGCGATTTTTGATATCGCCGCGTATTAACATACACCGGTGCTAACGCGGTGCTTTTACTTTTACAACGGCAAGTATGCTCGCTCGAAACCGTCAGACGAAGGTTAATCGATTCAGTTGGAGTAATTAAACGTGTCTTGCAAATCCTCGCGAGTCCGATAGTTTAACTGCGAAACGACGTGGCATACATCGAAAAGTATCTCGCGCCTTTTAACTTACGTGGCAGAGTAAAATTTGAGAGGAAGAAATGTGCAATCGCGTGAGCATTTTTTTATTACATAATCCAAGAGTATTTTTGGGAAATTTCTAATTAATCGGAGAAAGTACTAATCGATAAAAGTCTTGTTGTATATCGCACATCGCTTTCGTTTATATTTATATTATGTTTTTTTTTTATGGTAGCGCGCGCGTGTGTGTGTGTGTGTGTGTGTGTGTGTGTGTGTGTGTGTGTATAAATATATATATTTCTATCAAAATAGCCGGTCTAGTAACTGTCAAAATAAGATATCTCGCATAATTGCAGCCAATTCTCTCCGAGACTGGTATTTATTGTCAGAAAGTATTTCTTAATTTGCTTTCCAATTCACGAGCGAGTCAGCGTAGCAGAACCGCGGATAAATTAATAACGCGGAAAGTGTTAGTGGAGAAATGATAGTTCTCGTGACAGTAGCTGTCGATCGACACTTCCGCTCTGCCAATTCTAAGCCATACTTCAGTAAACATTTCCGATGAAGTAACACTGTAGCCTAGAATCGAAGTTTCTATTCATTTTTATCCAAATACGTCGACGATTACACATTAGATCTGACAAATTGACAAGTGCAATCAACGCACATCGCCTCGTAATTAGCCTGCATTTTCTTAAAATGTCATTCACTCAAAGCACGCATGATTTAATATCATTGCGAAACGGTGACAAGACTCTGACAAGACAAGCATTGAGATCATAAGCTGATTAAAACAAATAAATAAGGCGCGATAAAAAGATGTGTCGCATGAAATTATAACTGATAGCAACGTTTCCTATATATAATCTGTCTACTTTCTACATACAATTCTTATTTCCTATCTCTTTTTATCTTTATATTTGCTACTACCACGTTATAAATAATCCTCGTTACTGACAGGAATTCTCATTTTATTTTTAACTTAACATCTTTTTCTTCAAAAGCTTAGCCGAGTAATATTTTCAGTGATCTCTGTCACGGGAAGCCTTGGATAGCGGATTTCTTTCGAGAGAGTAGGCGGAACGGAGTGTCTGCGGTGCTGAAAGCGGCACCATCGATTATCCCAACCTATCGGAGGCGACGATAAACGAGACCGGGCCGCGTTCGAAGGCGATAAACTTTATCGTTTATCAAGGGAAACGAGCGGCGCACTGCTGAGAACGTGATACAGTTAGTCTTCTCAGTTGAGATCCAGAGTCAAAAACGGACGGGCCGGTCTCGCCGGTTTCGTCCTGAATTAACTCGAAGGATCTCGAGAATTACGTTATAGCGACAAGTCGGATAAAATGGGCGTAATCACCGATAATTAACGCTTCGCTTATGTGACGCTCCCGCGCGTTTCTTCCGCCGGGTGAGCGGCAATAATTTCTGTCCTTCGGATTTTTCTATCGCACTCGTAAAATGAAACATTTATCACGACGCGCTGAATATGAACGCTGCCGATTAGCACATTATGCTTCTGAGACTTCGATAAAACGAAGTTCCCCCGGGGTATACCGAGTACAATAAACTGTAACTACGCACGACACGATAGCACTTTATGGTCACAGTGATTACATAAACGTTTTTTTTTCTTTTGTTTAAATCAGCGATTCAAACCGGATTGTATTTTATCCAATTCGTTTTACTCTTATTTTTGTCATATTTAAAAATAAAAAATTCGATACGTAAATTTTTTAAAATTTTTACAAACAGTAGAGAGATTCTTTATCACGAAGATAATATCTATTTGAAGGTAGAACAAAATTTGAAGATACGATTACGAAAAGAATTGTATGCTTGCTTGAAAGTTTATGTGACACGATTTTACAGTTTCTATTATAAAAATCAATGATAACATTCTCATAAAAAAGATAAGACATTTTGAAAGATATAATGAAAGATGTATTAAAACACTCGCCGTGATACTTAAACGGAAAACGAATGCTTGATAAGAATGCTTGATAAGAATTTACGTAAGAGAAGTATATTTTAAAAAAGTTTAAAATCGCAATCTAAAATAAATTTAATTTATTATAATCTATTTCACGATGTCGTAAAGAAAATAGTGCGTCTAGATCTTTATATCATCTTAAATAATCATTTCGTGAAATTCAGGACATGTCGATCTCTCTTTTTCTATCTACTAATTTCTACGGCTATTTCGTTTAAACGCCCATCATGAGATTCGCATTCAAAGGAAAATCGAATCGAAAAGCAATAAAATATACTGACAGAGACAAATTGCAAGAAGTAATGGTCCGGGAAACGCGACGGCGAGCTCAAACAGAGGGAATAGTTCCGTTGTTATTTTGGTAATATATCATATGATCTGTCTGTGACAGTAGTAGGATGATATCGATCGTTCACATATCGAAGGCTAATCTATCGAAAGAACGTGACCACGTATGTGGAACGTACCTTATTGCAGCGAAGCCATAGGATAATAGAGTTCGGGTATCTCAAGGGTCCCCCTAATCCGCAGCCACCGGCGGTACGCTGGACTTTTAAAAGCTCGGAATGCGTTTTCCCGTGTTGGTGGAAGATCTCCAAAGATCTGCAACAGATTAAGAAAAGACCTTCAACCAATTTTTCGCAGAATTTTACATCCATTTTAACTTATCTTTTCTATAATAATGTAAAGACATGTATAAACAGAAAAAAATTAGTTTTAAATCAAGACTATATATTGTATAAGCAAAAATATTATATAATTTTCTAAGAAAAATTTTAGTATTGATGATATAGATGATATATTCTCATATAAAAGAATATTATAATCTTCATGTAAAAAGTTTTTTATCTTAAATTTTTTATCTTGAGCAAAAATAATACTTGCATCAATAAAATTTAATCAATACAAATTAAGAATAAAATTTTTAGGAAGGTTATAATATTCTTGCTTATATATGAGAATATTTTTCTTGATTTTAGATTTCTTTTTATATAATTCCATTTAAATTTGAATCCTCTTTGAGTGTGGCACTTCCGAGAAATAATGCCTCTTAAAGTCTCGTAAAAAGAAGAATTACATTTCGTGTTATAACGAACTAATCAATGTGAAAACTAATATTACTTAATATTCTTATCATTGATTCATATCACTAGATACTAAATTTTATTAACGGCAATAAACTAGTAACATGCAACAATTAATCATGTATCATATGAAAATAATTTACCAACATAAAAGAATATTATGTAATTAAATTAAAAATACATTCACTATCATTGATAAACGTAAAAATATAAACAAATTATGAAAATTATATAATAAAAGAGAAATATATACATGAACAATAAAGATAGATTATATATTGTCCGTGTGTATTATTATACAATACACTATTGAAAATAGAGTCTCCATTGTGCTTCGTGAATTTGTCACTCGCGAAATCGTGCGTTTATTTTACGCGTTCGACAATACCAAAGTTTGCAATATTCAAGATACTTTCATCGCTGGGAAAGAGGAATTTTTCGTAATTAGCGAGCGTCTCGATGTCTCTCGGCCGGATGCCTAAGGTGATCGAACTCGTGTCTCGAAGATTTATGTTGAGCGACAAGTGACCGCACGAAAACATTCCGCAATTTAAAGAGAAAGATCGCGAGCGGTCGCCTCCCTCGTGAAAGCGCGAACCGGATTATTAAAAGCTCGTTCATCAAGCGATTGGAGAGACTGGAATGGTACTTGGTAATTAGCGCGCGTCGTCTCGTGCTCGTTAATTACACGGCGTATTACGCACCATCGTGATCCTTATCCGAACGCTAAAATAAAATCCAGGATAAAATTAGCAACGAGCACTGCTTAATACGCGTTAAATCTTCAGGAATCCGTCGTGTTTTCAAATAACCGATAAACGCCGAAGTCTCGCATTTGCAATACAAACTAATTACGAGATGCAGTCGTGAGTTATTACTCACCGTGCATGTGATTGTAACAGAAATACGACTGTTTGCGCAAATATAACACGCCGCGGGATTGATTCTTCGTTGAAGCTGCAGCAATTTGTTTGCGAAAGGAGCGAAAAAGACTGAATGAGAATGTACACGTGACACAGAGCATATCTGACGAGTGTCGTCGCGCGTGTATAAATATATATACGACGTTGACATACGCCGGCCGGTGATGAAAACAAAAGTCTCTATAAGCCTGGTCAGAGCTGCCTCCAGAATTAACGATCATCCCGGCTTCCTCGATCGACAGCGGGGGGTCGCCTAATTCCGTGACTGGGTCGTCATCGAGTAAATGGATCTCGCGACACGCGGATCCTCCCGGGAGAGGAAGGCTCTAAAGGCGGGGTTCAACACGGGCGAATTTGTCGACGACGTCGGGTCTGAGTGTCGCTTTCTATTTCCGTGACAATCGTCAGTGCCTCCTTCTAAGCGAGGTCCGACGGAAGGTGAGGACAAAGGGAGGAAAAAAAAAAATGAAAATTAGACGCACGACGGTGCATCGTTTTCTTGGAGGAAACGGCGCCGCGGATGAAGTAAACGATCGAACGTCTCTGGCAATCGAGCGAAATTTTATTAATTTATTGGCCTAGATTAAGCTACAGAACGAAGACATGCAATATGTCATTCATATGTCATTTCATAAAATTTCAGATTGTGTAATGGACCAATTCGAATCATTAGATAAGCAAAATATAAATATTCATAATTAGATTAATCATCTTAACATCGCTAAAAATGGATATTTTATAATTATTAAAAAAATATTTTAAAAAATTATTTATAATTTTAATATCAGAAAACCTTTGTGATCAGGCTCATGTCTGATGTTCAATCAATGCATGCTCAATCACGTTGAATGTGATTTTATTAAAAAGATAGACTACTGTGATTTGTAAAAAAATAATTTAATTAAATAAATTTAAAACGTTTATTCTCAAAAACATCCTCTTGATGAGTGTAACAATTTTTATCGAAAAGTTTTAAACATGTTTCACAATTTTTCTGTGTAATCTTTTTTTTTTTTATAAAATCATATCAAGAATTTTTCGCAAGAAAGGAGATTCTTAAAAATTCTTAAAATTCTTAAAAACATAAAGACATTGTACGAAATATACGATTATACGTATAAATAACTATAGTTTAAAATCATGAAGGAATAGCAACATTAAAAATCTTCCCGCAGGATTTCTGCAGAAGTTCCACGATAAGATAATTTAAAGTTTTCCAGCCACCTCGCTACTTCCATCTCCACCGTTTGCATATCGTACACTTGGCATTAGTACGCAGATATGCTAAAGAATTTAAATGGAAGGAGTTGAAGTAACGTGTTAAAAAGCTACACGTGAATTGTTTCCGGGACTCGTCGTCCTCTCTCGCGACGTGGTATGGAAACGCGGAACGTATATTCGAAGTTATGCAAGCGCAATGTCGCATTTCACATGTCACGCGTTCCTGACGGGCCGGCAGGCGAAATCCGATCGTTCGCCGGGAATCTGCCGTCGTTGAGGAAACGGAGACTCGGAATTTTTTTTTTTCGAAATACTCAACGCTGATAGAGTCAAGAATATATATAATAATACATCTCCCGTTCGCAAGCGAATGGAAGTTACGTCACCGAGGAACGCGATAAAATACGACAAAAATATCGTTTCGCCGATTACGAGTCTCAAATGTGGATTGCGCGAGCCACCAAAACCTGCCGGCTGGGCGAATCTGAAACGTACGCTAATCCTATTCTCGGAATTTACACAGAGCGAACGCGTCGGTTCACAATCGAACGCCTAAACATCCGGCGCAGTATCAATAATTAATCTGACGCTTTCATCGAGCCATCGTGATTATTGAGTCAAAGCACACCACCCACCTACTTATCAGTCACGGGCCATATCACAGTCTAATGGCGTAGCCTTGTAAAATGATGTCGTCGTAACTTCTTCAAAGAGCGCAAACGTGCGATTCTTTCGTGCTAATCGACATTACGACACGGTACGACGACTTTTTGTATCATCAGAGTTTGACGAGTCGTAAATATTCTCTGACGTGCAGCGGATGTACTTTACGATAATTAACAAGATAGCGACTCGCGATGCTCTTTCATTACATAATAAAATGATATGTCGCATGTAATCTACGGCGTATGTGTGTATCTTGAAACCATTGAATAACCGCTGATATTTTTCACGCAAAAACAATATTGCTTCTTGCAAAAACAGTGTACTAAATATATCGCGATATATAAAATTATCATATAAAATAATTAATAAATTTGAAGCAGAGATAGTTTCCATTAATCAGAGACAGTCCTCTATTAATATGCATACAACCTTTCTGGATTCCAAACGTCAATTAAATTATTTGATTAGTTATTTAATTAACTAAGAGCTTACACATATGAATTATTCAAGTATTTTATTTTTTATTAATTAAAATTCTAAAATAACTATAATTAAAGCAGGTGTTTCAAATGAAAATTTCTATTTGGAAATTAAATTTTAAAATAAAAACACTAAATTTGATTACAGATTTGATTCATTATCTTTTGTAGTTGCCTTTAAAAGCTAGGTCTACTCGATACTTTCCTAAGCAATATCATTTTAATTATATAAACTATTTTCGTATGTCGAGTCTCTCACACTGACACTGCAGTTTTCAATTCCATTATTCAGCACAGCTATACTCTCGAGAGTCATTGAAGCGAAAAGCTACGGAGCAGATCTTCGGAATCGTCCTGTCGATCGTGCGGAACGCCCCGATGACTCGAAGATATTCTCGTCAAATACGAAATTCCGAGTGCAATGCTAAACAGGAACGCAAAAGCTTCATCGGTTCATCGGCCGTATTATTGACGCAAATTCAGACTAATCTAACGAATGTGATGCTGTTCGATCGAATAAAAATAGACATTTGACGAGGTCATTAAATAATCCCCAAAGGGTTTTAGTTCATTGTGAAACATCGGACATAGATATCGGTATCGCGATACACGTTTGCAATCTTGTCAAGATCCGTCTGGCGTAGTCCGAATTTCACATCGTCGAAAAATAAAATATCAAAACAACTGTTGGGCACATTTCTTAAATACTTAGCTGGATTTCCAGATTGACATACATTGAGACATTAATACGAATAGCGAATACGCTATTTAATCCCAAGATAAACCTGTTAAACCTGCATATCTAGTCTGCTAATCTGCAACATGTCGACATAAAGATACAAAGATGTTCGTCCAAGAGATACGTCCGGCGGGAAGAACTCGGGAAGAAAAAAGGAGAATTTATCGGACGATCCCGTTCCGATTCCGATCCGCATCGCAGCTTCGATTCGCCGTTTCTTGCGCCTTCCTCTTTTCTCCGGGGCCGCAAATCGTCCGATACCAATTGTGCAATTCTCAGTGGCGCGTAATCGACGGGAATTGGAAAAGACGGCGAGCGGCAAATGAAAAAGGCGACTTTCTCCCGGGACGAGTCAATTTAAAGACACCTCGTAGCGCGTCACTCCCACGACACGCGATTCCACACCTCGATGGTTACTTTGTTACTTCAAGTGAAAACTGCCAATCTGTGAAACGCGATGCGAGCTAATGTAATTAATTCTCGCGTCGAT